GATAGAAACAACAGCTTTAAACTAGGAACAGAAGGAAGCACTATTTTGGGGGAGGTATCACAAAGAAGATACAGAAGAAAAATCTCATCACCACGTTGCAAGAAATTCCTGCGCTAGGAAGACAAGACGAATGACCACAGTTGCTTGGATTGCAAACAGCTATTGTTTGCTGGGTAGTTAGGAGATATGCACGTGTTTAAAAGCAACTCCTCAGGAGGGGTGTTTTCTGAGCTCTGGCTCCTCAGACTTTAATTAAAAGCCCATTGTCCATTGCTGGTACCTGCCAAAGTCATGCCAGTCAGAGTCTGCCTTGCCAGCACTGTTGAGGTAGACCCAAGCTTTCCAAGGAGGCTATAAAGCTGCCAAGGGAAATAGCAAGCACATTTCTGAGACTCTGTTTTAGCTCCCTGGCCCGTGCAGATGCTCTGGTTGATGCTGACTGTGTTTGTGTTTATATTTGAAGCCGTTATGTTAGAGATTGTAAAAATAAGCTCTGGTGACTACCCAGAAAGCCTGCCCAGACATTAGCCATGGTGTTTGGGGCTGGGGCAAAAGGTACAGAGAGCATGAAAAAAAGAAGCCAGGCACTTACCCCAAGTGGCATTTCAAATCACATCGGCGCCCATCAATAAATGTTTAACTTGGGTAGCTAACCAGAAGTAAACTATTCATTACAGGTCTTTAGTTCCTTTCCCCCTCACTGCCTCCTTCTATAAACAAGCAAGTGACATGAAGCCAGCCAGAGGAGAAAGAAGGAAAAAGAACTTAAGCAGATGAATGGGTAAGTTTTAAAAAATGTATTGTAGCAAAGAAATAAGATTCCTTTTACGAAAAAAATTGGGGCCCTTGATTGAACATATGAACAAAAAAACCTTCCTAAATTTTCCCTGGACCTGAAATTTTGTGAACCCCTGAACATAGGCCCTGGATTGATGGGGGAGGGAACCAAGTTGATTGGCAGTCTATGGGGTCATCAGGCCTGTGAACTAAAGAGAGAACTGGGATGTTTGCAGGAATGGGGGACATTTCTCTAATACTACTGTAAAACCTAATACAATGTGCAAAGAAAATCTTGGTTGTTGGCAGTACTTAAAACTCCCAACTTTCTGCCTTTACAAGAATTTTACTGAATTCAATTAGTGCAGCGTTGAAGCTTCTCAGTCATGAAGCCTCTATGGAACTACTGAACCATGATCTCCCGTCAAATTCCTTCACCCCAAACGATGTTCAGTTATCAACTTGAAGTGACGGCTTTGAACCCAGCAGCCAGAAGCAAAGGGATGGAATAGATCAGGTTCTGGATCTAGCCTGGAGATTGATCTGAGACTTTCTGACCCTCATCCCTTCCTTCAGTGTAGAGCATAGAGCTCTTTCTCTGAGCCCAACATCATGGCAGGCTTGGTTCTTAGATATCTTGAGAGACGCAGGAAAGTGAACTATGAAAAACTGAATAAGGCCCTGGCTGTTTTGTTTCTCAAGCATACTTGTGCCTGCCTTTTCCCAACCTCTATCACCAGCGTATGTCATTTTTAGAGTGCTTACTGTGTGTTATTTTATGACCTGGGCTTGATTCATGTAGTTCTCACAATGAGGCATGGCTCTTACAAACATCTCTAACTCATAGATAAGCAACTTAGTTCAAAAGCAAAGCTGAAGGATTGTCCAGCTGGCAGCTGCTTCCTCTCACATTGGACTCCATGAACCTGGGTGCTCCAAAGTGTAAGTCCATGCTCTGTGAATGGGACCTTCTGGGGTTGTAAGACCCAGTACCACTGGAGAAGATTCAGGAAGCAGAGCCCAGGTTTGTTTGGCTTTCCTGTATCCTTTTACCACCTCTATTAAACTTAGGTGGGAACATTTGTGCACAAGAGGCAGTCAGGAAAGAACACTAATCTCTTCATGTCAATCACAAGGTTCTGGAATCTTCTACCCAAATGCCTCATCCCTCCCTACCACCTCCATTATCCATATCCTCTGAATAGTAAAGTAAAATGGGTCTGGGGGCAGCAGCAGGATTGACAAACCAAAGAAAGCAGAAGAGCAAAATGAACTTTCCTTTTTCTTCCCCAGCATCCTGCCTTGTGGGTTATCATACAAATTCTCAGTCAATCCCAAAGCAGTATCCTGAAACTTTTCTGGAACTCCACTCTAGTCTGCATCTGCAAGTGATCCCAGGCCATCCCTTTACTTCTTGTTTCTTGTGGCTTAGGATCGAGTAGAAAGATACATAGATGCTCATTTGACTGGAATCTACATTGCTTTCTGGTAGAGGTGGGTGTAGAGAAGGGACCAGATAGGGGTATTACATCAAACTTTAAGAGCACAGCATCCCAGTACAGTAGCAGATGCTCCTCCCTACGCTATAGCCTGGCCTTTTGTGGAACCATCAGTTGCTATGGAAACGGCTAGGCCTTTCATGTATAAGGGTATTTGAAAGATGCAGAGCTGATTTCACAGGACACCTAATCTGGGAGAACTCATTCTGGGCACTTCCAAATGTTTGCTGCCATGCCTGTCCTGTCTTCTTGTTTTCTGATTCCAGACTTGCTTGGCTTGCTCCCTTGCTAGGAATGCGTCCTCCATTACTGTCTCCATCCTCCAGCCACACACATCCCTTTCTTTAGCATGCTTCCCCCATCCCACATATACTCACCCCCAGCAGGCTCTTCCTGTGAAGTCTCATGGCAACCTGCACATTTCCTTATCACTGCTGGTGCCTCGCTTTATTAGGAACATCTGTCCACCTGTTAGTCCTCTCCAATAGCTTGCAGATTTGTCCATCTTCATTTTGTCCCTGACAGATCGCTTGGCCTTTTGCATACAGTCAATATTTATTAAATACATGAGTTAAAGGAGGTTTGGAGACGCAAATGAGTGAAAAGATAACCTTGTGGAAACTTACTGAAATCCTAACACTATCTATCCCCAAGCATTCAACTTCTAAATTCATAGTATCTGGCAAGCAGAAGCAATTTTCCTGAAACCTGGGGAAAGGCTGAGCAATTAATAGTTTTTAATGATAATAGCCAGCAAATACTGGGTGACTACTATGCCCAGGTTGTGTTCTAAGAACACTGTTTAATCATTTAATCTTCACAGCAATCCCATAAGGTAATTAATTATCTTTTTATAGATGAAGAAACAGTGGTAAAGAATGCCAAGGACACACAGCCAGTAAGTGGCACATCAGCTCTGAATCCATTCTTTCAGTCGATAAGCTTTGTGCCAGTTCATGGCAAAGACAGAGAGGATTGAACATGAATGACCTAAAGCTGGGGTTTTCCTTTTGGTTACCTTTGTCTGAGTTTAAAGGTAATCACAAGTCAGAGAGAATACCTACTCCTTTCTGCTTCTTCGTTAGTTCATGATTGAATCATGCTACTTTCTTAACTTATATAATGTGCTCCTGTGCACACACACCCTTCCTCCCCAGCAGCTGTTTTTTACACTTTTCTGAATGAACAGGGCTGCCCCTGCAGATGTGCTAGAAGGTGTATAGGATCAGCAATTGCACATCCTGATGAAATGCAGAGTAACTTGAACTCAAAATGAGATGATGCAGAAATTCATGCAGCCTAGAAGGGATGGAGCAACAGGCTTTTCAAAACTTGAAGGACAAAACTTGAAGGGGATGACTGTCTCCTTTAAACTTCAACTTGGGGGCCAAAGTAGACCCTTTGGGGAAAACTTGTTTATGGGAAATAGGCTGGTCTTCATATAAGATCAGTGAATTTGTGTGAAAGCCAGCAGTCTCTGTCAAGGTCCTTCTTAGTCTATTCGGGCTACTCTAACAAAATATCATAAACTGGGTGGCTTACATAAAACAGGAATTTATGGCTCATCATTGCAGAGGCTAGGAAGCCTAAGAGCAAGGTGTGTCAGCAGATTTGGTATCTGATGAGGGCCAACTTCCTAGGTCACAGAAAGAATCTTCTTGCTGTGTTCTGCATACAATGAAAGGACTGGGGAGATTTTTCAAGGCCTCTGTTAACAAGTGCACTAAACCCATTTATGCAGGCTCCACTCTTATGATCTCATCACCTCTCAAATGCCCCATCTCCTGCCATCAATGCACTGATGATGTTTTCAACACAGGACTTGGGGGTAGGGGGCAGAGAAGCATTCAAACAATAGTGAAGACTGTGTTCATTATATAGTGAGGACAAAGTAAGAAGGAAGAACTTGCCAAGAAGATGCGGCCATTTAGTTATATCAGTCACAACACCAGAATATTAAACAAGAGAATTACCAAGAGGAACCTATGAATATAGGTATCTCAAAAGATGTTCAAGCTCTCCCAAGGGGACTGCATGAAGGCTCTGGTTTTTCAGGACTTGGAAATGGATTGAGCACAGATTTTTAAACAGAACCCCATGGGGATTTTTTAAACATCTTTACATATTTTTGCTATTTCCATCTCCACTGTCATGAAAAAAGAGAAGATATTTATAGGCATCAGAACAGAGATTTAGACTGAAATAATTATGCTTTTCATTCAAGGGATATAGGGTTCTGGAACTGACTTTAACTGAAGCAACAAAGATAGACTTCTCTTTGTAGGACTCTTTAGGAATAGTGGCTATGCCTTTTAATTAGGAGTTTCCCTTGGAGTGGCAGTGATGGACTAGAATTTTAGTGAGCTATAGCCATTCTGGGAAAAACCTAGCCACTGAACTTTTAAATATACTTTAAGAAAAATTCAGCAAGGCTAAGAAAAAAAAGTGTCCCTACAAAGGGATTCTTTAAAAACTTAAATATCTGGTTTGCCTATGTGAAAGTACAATGTAGATATAATCTCTAACTTTAGGAAGAATAAATTAATACCTGAGTGCATACCTTTTCCCTCCCATGTCTCTCCTGTACATGGCTGCAATTCTGGGTGAATTTGAGGGTCCTCTTTTATTTTATATTTCCATAAAGAGAGATTTATGTGTATGAAATGCATATTTTGCTATGGTCCTATGCTCAATATTAAAATTACAGAGTAAAATAATGAGGTAAAAGATATTTATTGACACTGACCAAAACATACACAAATATTTCTGAAGAACAACAGGAGAACATTTCCTGGCTTTATTTTTTCAGAGATCCATGTTACTCTGACAGCAAGTAGTGCCATTCGCCCCTTTGTAGAAAAGCCCACTCAGGCAGCATGCTTCACCAGGAACTAGCCATTTTGTCCTTAAAGAAGTGCAGTGTGGTTCCTTCCAGTGAATGCTGGTCCTCTGCACCCACTCCAGGCCAGCTGACAGATGCAAGAGCTATCACGGAGTTTTACTATTTACAGCAAAATTGGCATGTTGGAGGCGCTGGTCTGGGCTGAAAGATGCTACTGAAGAGACGTGGAACCATCAATATTAGAAGAAAGTGAGCCACAAACCATGTGGTTCAGGTCCTAAGTGTGTCCAGACTGTTCCTGTATGGTGGCTGCTTGGTCAGAACAGGCATTTAGACAGGACACATGGGTTGCATGGTGACTATGACAGTTCTCCAACTTTGATGCTCTGAACAGAAGCTGGCTGAGAAAGTCCCTTCCCACACCCTCCTCTGCCTTTTGGGTTCTCAAGGCCACTCTCAGCAAGCAACCACTGTGACAGCAGATTTTAAATTGAAATTGCTTCATCTTGATCTTAAACAGCAATTCAAAATGCAGATGAATGGGTACAAAATGCAGTATGAAATTTTACTCTAAAGTCAAAACATTTAACATATTTGGGCTTATTCAAGTTAGCTTCTTCAGAAACCTGAAAGTAGGCATGATAAGTTAAAGATGATATAAACAGAGCTGTTTTCAATAATTTAATTATTAGGTTCATGCCAAGAAATGAACTTGCATGAAATATTAAATATTATTCTTAAAGCAATTTGGGCACAGACAATCACACACACAAGAAATGGGGCCGGGGGAAAAGGTTCTCCCCAAAGTGCCAATTTTTTTGTTTATTTGTTTGGAAAAATAGTGACCACACAGTCAGAGGTAAACAATGTTTTCTTCAGCTCCATCTCCGGCATCCCCACCTTGTCTGGCCACCATCTGTAGAGTTAGCTTTGCTTCTGCTCTAAGTGTTTGTGGCTGAGGGCCATGTGGATTTGAGTCCTGAGGGGCTGGCGACTCTGTCTGGAAGGAGTCCAAATCTGCAACAGAAAGATATCACAGGTTACAGGTGATAACCATTTGGGACCCATAAGGTACTATGTCTCAATCAGGAAATGCAGTGCCCACATACTCAGCCACAGAGAAAATGGCAAAGCCCAGGAAGAGAGAACACAGTGGCCATCAGTGATTTCATTAGTATTTGTGGGCACAAACGTCTCTTGTGAGGAAAAACTACCTTTGCAAAACACTCTTAGTGAAGTGTCAAGTGGACAGAGTGGTTCCCATTCATGGCTGTTACATCACTGCTACCAGAGAAAGGGATGCCCATTGATTTTCTCAAATGGATTCAGGCCTTGGAAATGCAGATATCCTGCTATGTGCAAAACATGTTTGCATCTGCACAGCATCTTCCCTCAAAGTATCTCCAGTCAAGAAGTGACCTCAAGACTCAATTTATCTGGGGCGTTACTGGTGTGGGCAATGGGTGAGGAGAAAGGGGTCGAAGAACAAAGATCATCCAGCCTCACCATTATGCAAGTCAGTTAACACTGCTCAAAGGACTTCACAAGAGCAGCCAGGTTCCCAGCGAAAATCATGCCAGTGGCAACTGTAGCGGAGCTTAGGTTCCCCCCCCAACCCCCCGGTTGCCTAGCAACAGCAGGGCGCTGTCTTCTTTCCCCATTTCTGACAAAAAGCCTCTATATTTTGCTTTAAAAGGGGAGAAGAAGGGGTGCTTTGATTTGAAGAAGGAAACACACTTGCTACAAATCATTTTGCAGCTATTTTTTTCTTCAATAACCAACCTCCTTGAGGTGTGGCAATATGGCAAAAATCACAAGTGACAACTTCTAGTTAAAGCCAAAGGCAGGCATGGATATCCAGGTGGGGAGTGAGGAGGGGCCAATGGGGAAGCAGCAGCCAGGACCATAGGAAGTAGACACAGGATGCCTGGAGAAGCAATGGCCGGAGCCCTGTTGCTCTTAAGCAAAGGGGGGACCCCAAGGAAGGGAACAAGACTGGGTGAGGCTGCAAGCCACGGCTTGCTCAAAGGCACAGGCCAAGCCTGACCTTTTTTTTTTTTTGAGATAGAGGCTCATGTATCCCAGGTTAGCAAGGATGACCTTGAACTTCTGATCCTCCATTTTCTGAGTGCTGGGATTACAGGTGTACACCATCATGTTCTGTTTATGTAGTGCTAGGGATCAAATCCAGGGCTTCAGGTGTGTATGATAGGCAAGCACTCTACCAAATGAGCTACAACCTCCATGCTCCTAGGGCACAAAGAAAATCTCTTAGAGTGGGGAAACTTGATTTCATGTCCTGTATCTCAAACATTAGGAAGGCATTAACAGCCAAAAGACTTTGAAGATGCTTCTAAACCCAGCCACCCTCTAACAGTGCCTTCTGCCCATGAGCTCAGGGGCTGTACCCAGGCATTCACATTCATTATCTCTTTGCAACTCAAAATATTGTAAGCCCACAATTTACAGGATGGAAAACTGAGACTCAGGTCAGTTAAATTCTATCCCCAGTATCTATCAAAGAAGTATCCTAGACCTCAACTCAGAGGACCAAGGCTGTGTGAAGACACCTTCCTCCTCAGGTCTGGGTCTCATGATCTCACTTCTAGGTGTTGGAAGTGACTCAACTTTTCCAGGTTACAAGACCCTAAATGTTTCATACTTGCTCTTCAGTTACAAAAAACAGTAAAGCAAAAGATGTACTGAGTCTGTCTAAACCAACATAGCAATACTTCCAGCCTAGCAACCGCCCCATTTAATCAAGCAAACACAAATATCCCCAGCAATGATTTCACAAACAGAGCAAGGCTACAAATCAACCCGTAATGTTCTCTCTATCCTATTTGACTGTGTTAGGACACGGGGTGTGCCTGTCTGTGACCATGACAAAGTTCACACGCTCATAGTTCCTTTTCCTAGCTGTTGGATGAAACCATTTCACCACAAAAGAAAAATAGTCCCAGTTGAACAGCTGATGTTTGATATGACACAATTTCAAAGGAAAAAAAAATCTCAATACTTTCATCTAGCAAGTACTGGCAACTGAACAGATCATCTAGGTTGCCATGGTTTTGCCCCCTTGCCAACAGAGGGTCCAGTCGGGACACAGAAACTACTACACTGAGAATGAAAAATCACCCACCAAATGAGGTGGTTGGGAAGTGACTGTTGAAATCTGACAGTTCTGAGCATACTCCCCTAATCCATGAAGCTTCCTTCCTTTAAGCAGATTAAGCAGAATCCAAAATGCCCAGGAACCCGAGACTCTGGAATGCTACTGTAATGGCTTCAAGAGCAAATCAAAGAGCAAACCAAAGAAGCAAGTGCATGCCAGAAAGAATTTTTTAAATATTCTATTTATTATTTTTATTTTTGTATGTATGAGTGTAATGCCTGCGTGTTTGTAAGTACACCCATGTCATGCAATGCCTGAGGTGGTCAGAAAAGGGCATCAGATCCCCTGGAACTGGAGTTATAGATGGTTGTTAGCCACCATGTGGGTGCTGGGAACCAAACCCAGGTCTTCTGCAAGAACAGCCAGTGCTCTTAACCACTGAGCAATCTCTCCAGCGCCCAGAAAGAATTCTTTTATCCTGAAAGGATAGTCTGCAGCTCAGGAAGACAGAGAACTAAGAATAAGGGTGGAGCAAGGGGAGTATGTGCAAGCACACACACTTGTAGTGAGGAGTGGAGCTTAAGCCAGAACATTTTCAAGTAAGAATAAAACATGAGGACGATATTTCTACTGGGACCTTGGACCCTAAAGTGGCTGAGGGGCCCTCACGGTAATTTCAGATGGATGCTGTGTGGTGGCTGTGTGTCGTCACCCAGAGGGGAACTCAATTTCCTTCTCCGTTCCTTCTTCATTTCTACCCGAACTATGTAGGCGAGGTCAGGCAGTCTGTCTTTGAAATTAGAAACTGTTCTGTGATTTCTGATTTTATTACTCCATTTCTACCGAGAGAACTCCTGCAGTGCAACTGTATATTTCTGAAGGCGAGCCACCTTTTTCCACACTTTTTACCCCAGAGAATATGACCATCATATAGAACCCTAAACTGAAAGCATATTTGTTCAAATTAAACCTCACTGATTCAGAAAGCAGAATTCTTGGGGAGTGAAATAAATTATCCAATTTTATTTGTGATAAAAATTTCAATTAACTAATGGAAATAAAATAAACTTATTTATTTTTAATAAGAAAAATAATATTAATAGACTCAGAATTTGCCAAGTGAAAAGTAAAATGAGACAAAAATTAGAAACTGCAAAAAACCAATGCTACCCCCTTGACATAACTAATTTGAACCTTACTGTATCTCTGGAAACTGAACAGAGTACACATTATTAAGCTTAAAATAAGGACTAATAAGCTGAAATACACTTTAAAAACCGAAAGCCTGGCTAAAGCAAGTAGAAAAGTAAAATCCTGGTTCGGGGTTTTCTGCTATGTAACTGAGCTTCCATTCACACATGGAAATTTTAGCCTCTGAAAGAAATTTCCATAGTCTCATTATGAAGACCACCATGGGGTCTGGGTTAGTCTCCTAGCGCAGTTTTTTAAATTATAGCCATTCAGAATTTGGCTGGCATTACTTTTTCTTATAGACACATGGCACAAAAAAAAACCTTTGCTGCCAAGGGACCTTGCATGCGTGGAGCACTGCTGCCCCGAGATGATGTCTTAAATCTGATCCCCAGTCTGTAGTTACAACCTACTTGACACTACATTCATCATTTTCACACTTTTCTCTGCTCATCAAACACTGTAATTTCTAACCAACTGTGAAGACAATTAGCCTTCCATCACCTCTATTATTGTTATTATTATGAAAAAAACTTGATAATTAACTATTTTTAAGGATCTCACTGTAGACTGTATATAAAAACCCAATGTGTTATATTTAAGATGAACAAAATAACTCCTAAATTGTGAAGCAAATGAAATCATCTCCAAGTTAAATGTCACCTCGGTCAAGTCATTTCTCCTCTCTGGGTTTCAGTTCATGAAGTCTTGGGCTAAAATCACAAAATCCCCTTAAAACTTCCTATAGTGTGTGTGAATTTTTTAAAATTTTTATTTATTATTTTTATTTTATGTGTATGCGTGTATTGCCTGCATGGAGGTAAGTGCACCCATGTCGTGCAATGCCCACAGAGGTCAGAAGAGGCTGTTGGATCCCCTGAGACTGGAGTTATGGACAGTTGTTAGCTGCCATGTGGGTGCTGGGATTTGAACCCAGGTCTTCTGCAAGAACAACCAGTGTTCTTAACCACTGAGCCATCTGTGTGTGTGAATTTTTTACATTTGTGTTTGGGCTCAGTGATTTTACAAACATTCTAGAAGTTGAAAAACAAAGCAGAAGGGTTGGAGAGATGGCTTAGACATTAATAGAACTGGCTGCTGTTGCAGAGGACCCAAGTTCGATTCCCAGTACCAACATGACAGCTAACAACTGTCTGTAACTCCAGCTCCAGGGGAATCCCATACCCTCTTCTGACCCCCTAGGACATTGCATGACATGGATGTACTACACATATGCAGGCAATATACTCATACACATAAAATAAAAATAGTATGATCTTAGCTGAAGAACTATTGGGCAGCTGATTACTACTGGGTGAGAAAGAACTGATCTGCAAAGGAGCGACACTAGATAGGCTGATTAGACCCCAGTAGATGAACTTGCACTGAGGGATGTCAGGGGACACTTATTTGACTTGATAGACCTTAACATAGATGACAGAACACATGAAATCAAGTGGGGAGGGGTATGGGAGGGTGCTGATGGGGAAGGGTCTATAAAGAAGACTAAGATGTTGTGTATGAAATACACAAAAATTCAATAAAATGTATTTAAAATAAAATAATAAAATATAAAAAAACAAAACAGAAAGAAGGCATGTCCTACTGCTTAGCACCTAAGAAATGTGATCAAATTCATTTCTTGAAGTTGCATTTAAATTAACATTTTTAAAGTAATTGTTACTTTTTCTGCCCCTCTCCCTTCAGCTTT